AGAAACTATTAACCTTACATTTGATGATTATTATATAAAACAATCTACACTACAATTTACAAATCATCCAATTTTGAAAGAAACTCAAGATGAATCTGAACCAATGCAAATGTTGTATATTGATTATGATTTGATATTTGGAATTTCAGATCATGCTAGAAATGTTGAAGAAAAAGCTCTTGATAATCATATCCCTTAACTTTCAGAGCTAACTAATGGTTCAACATCATCTCCTCAAGAGATAGGCGAAAGTATGCAACATGATCCAATGGAAGGGGAGCATTTGGATTCGAACACTTTGATGGAGGGGGAGCATTCTTTCGAGGGGGAGAATGAGAGAGAAATGTTGATGTTGAGGGGGAGAGATTAAATGCGAATGTTGAGGAGGAGCTATTACAAAATAATGAATATTATCATGATGTTAATGATGTTTGTTCAATTTCAGGCTCAGATAATGATGAATTCTACGAAGACGCACCTCTGGACTTCGATCCAGCTTATCCACAGATGAACAAATGGACAAAAGATCATCCGAAGGAGCAAATAATTGGTAATCCACAAGAGGGAGTCTTAACAAGGGCTCAAATTCCTGCAAAGAATGAGGTATTAAATACTCATAAAGAGTTTTGCATGTTCAATGTTTTTATCTCTAAAATTGAACCAAAGACAGTAAAGATTGCAATGGAACACTCGGATTGGGTTTTTGCAATGCAATACGAATTGTCTAAATTTGAAAGAAATAAGGTTTGGAGATTAATTCCTAAGACAAATGATGTTTTGATTGTTGGGTTAAAATGGATTTTCAAAAATAAAACTGACAAAGATCGAAATATCATTCGAAACAAAGTCAGACTTGTTGTTAAGGGTACTCTCAACAAAAAGGAATTGATTACGAAGAAACTTTTGCCGATGTCGCAAGACTCGAGGTGGTTCGTATATTTTTGGTTTATGCAGCTCACAAATACTTTGATGTTTATCAAATGGATGTGAAGTGTGCATTTCTGAATGGAGAACTCGAAGAAACTGTCTATGTGGAACAACCTCCAAGTTTTGTTAACGAAGAACATCATGATTATGTTTATATCTTAGATAAGACAGTTTATGGTTTGAAACAAGCACCACGAGCCTGGTATGCAACTCTTACTTCATTTTTAAAGCAATCAAAATTTAAACAAGGATCAGTTGACCCCGCATTATTTCGTAAGAAAGTTGGGAATCATCTTATGCTTGTTCAAATTTTTGTTGACAATATTATCTTTGGCTCAGCTGACCCTGCTTTGTCTAAAGAGTTCGAAGACTTGATGAAAAGTAAGTTCGAAAAGAGTATGACGGGAAAAATTAATAATTTTCTTGGTTTAAACATTCATCAAAGCAGAGAAGGAATCTTCATTAATCAAGAAAAATATACGAAGAATTTGCTAGAGAAGTTTGGATTAACGAATAGCACAAAATCACGAGTTCTAATGGCAACTAGCATCACACTAACTCCTTCGTTAGATAAACCTGCAGTTGATCTCACTTTATACAGAAGCATGATTGGATCTTTACTATATTTAACTGCTAGTAGACCTGATATCATTTTTTCTGTATGTAATTGTGCTAGGTATCAATCAAATCCACGAGAACCACATTTCACTGCTGTAAAGAATATCTTTCGTTATCTCAAAGGAACTCTTTCGCTAGGATTGTGGTATCCTTTAAATACAGGGTTCTTTGTTCAAGCATATTCGGATGCAGATTTGGGAGGTTGTAACATTGATAGGAAAAGCACAAGTGGAGGATGTCAATTGCTCGATGGTAAGTTGGTAAACTGGCAATCGAAAAAACAGACATTTGTTTCAATATCAACGGCTGAAGCTGGATATGTTGCTGATGATGCATGCACTTCACAGATAATATGGATCCAAAGTCAATTACATGATTATGAAATTAACATGAAAAAGATTCCTTTATATTGTGATTCACAAAGTTCAATAAGAATTTCTCATAATCCTGTGCAACACACAAAGACTAAACACATAGCTCTTCGTTATCACTTCATCAAAGATCATGTGGGGGAAGGAAATATTGAAGTACATTTTGTGAAAACAACTGATCAGTTGGCTGATATTTTCACAAAAGCTTTGGATGAAAAATTGTTTATACGAATTTTGGAAGGACAGGGAATGATTGATGGAAATTCAATTCCATGCGAAAAAGGCAAACAATGATTACAAGAAAAAGACAAAGAAAAATCATTCAGTATTCAGAGGTTACTGTTGACAGTCAACTCTTCGAATGCTTCGAATTCGTATGATTGGTATTTTTATTAGATTGGTGAAACTTAGAATATTTGCAACGAGTACTTTTATTTGTTTTGTTCTTTATTTTTTTTAAATTAAAAACATCAAAAAAAATTTCTTATTATTTTGTTCTTAATTTTTGAAAAATCAAAAACAACAAAAATATTTTGTTTCTTCTTTTTATTTAAGTACTGTGTTGCAGATATTCATGAAGATACAAAGAGGATAAGGCTTATAGTTCTAAGGTGAGGTACATTTATCATTCTATTCTTTGAATTTCAAATTTTTTACTAGTTAAGATGTCCCTAGAAGCATGATGCAGCATATTGTCCGAAGCCTCGAAATGACTCAATGTTTGAAAGCCTTAATGAAATTTTCATACGAAGATTTCTTCCCAATTAGTCTTACATTCGTATTAGTCCAATGAGCTACCTTACTCTTCTCACATGAGTTAAGAGTTCACTGTTTGGTCCAAAATAACTGAGGTACATGTTCCTTCGTATACCAATCTTTTTCATCTCAAAATTCTTACACCATCACACACGAACACATATGTCCAAGAGGTTTGTGATCAAAACAATCGAAACTTAGATATATCACAAATCTATGTTTATGATCAGACATCATGAGACCGTGATGGAAGTGAAACCTAATTCAATTAAACTTCTACGAATTGATGGGGAACTTAGTTCCATATTTTAACGAAGCATTTGTTTATGTACCTTCATTCGAAACTCCAAATCATATTCATTTCTTATGCGTGGTCTTGATCAAACATTCGAATCCGATGATGTTAGTTACCCAACATGATCTAGATTACAATTTTTTTCTTGAATATGATTTCAATGTGAGTTTTATCTAAAATTCCATGTTACTTAAAAGCTTTTCAAAGCAAACTTGTCACTGACTACACTAGTCAAACAAGTAATTTCTGTTACAATTACTCACCTTATGTTTAGGTTGATATGTAACGAAATTCATTGAACCACCTCAAAAGCCTTTTAAAAGAAGCCCTTCGATACTGATTTACAAGTATTCAATTGTAATTCACAGGAAAATACACAAGCTGTTGATTATCTCTCTTGATAATTAACAAAGCAATCTTTGCACGGGGTTTTAACTGCCTTCGTGTCAAATTAAATTTTTGACATCACCGAATATCCAAAAAAAATTAATTGCTTCTCATCTTTATTCTTTCACACTTAACACACACGAAATCCTTGAGGTTCTGAGTAATACCAACTCAGGCTGATAGTTTCAAGAATCTGGCAAATGAATTTACTTTGAAACCATAAAGTAAAAGAATCTTACCTCCATTCGAAGGGTTCCGACGGTTACTATTTTATTCGGGAAAACAATCCAGACTGTTTGAAGGGACTGTTTGAATTATGTGCAAGTTTTGAGGAGACATGACAGTTACTTTATCACGCATGGTTACTTTTTGATCATCGTGACACAGTTTTCTCGGTGACACGTCACAGATCATTAAATGCTTATCCCGCTTTGATTTCAAAATTTGGCGTTACATATAAAAGGGGATTCAAGGGTTCATTATTAGTTTACGCTTTCATATTCCCAAATTTACTCTGAGAAACATCCAACTCTCAATCCCTCACAATGGTGACTGCTAATCCTGATGCAACTTTGTCTCACACCACCGATGATGTAACCTCATTGTCGATAATGAAGATTCAAGGAACAAATTACCAAGTTAAAGAAAACGTATCTCCATATCCTGAAGAACTGAAAACGCTTATTGTTGCTCTTAAAAACTCAGTTTTATCAAAATCCATGTTCAACTCATTCTCTATTCCTCTTTCATGGTTGTCTCAAGCTGGATCAACAGCTACTTACTCTAAAGCTTTGGATGCAGTTTTATTTAATCTTGTGACTGATAAGAAGGTTAGACTTTCAAAGAAGCTTTTCTGCCAAATTCTCGATATACCTAATTCTCCGCACTACGTCACTTATACATTCCCACAAATTGTTCACATGTTCAATGAAATGGGTCATCAACCCCAATTGACAAAGATAAGTGATTTCAAGAAGTCAAGACTTCCAGGTGTTTGGAATTTTCTGTTCGGCATTTTTCTCAGATGTTTAACTGGAAGAACTGTTGGGTTGGACAAGGGAAGGATGGAAGTTTATGCGATGGTCGTATGTTTATACTACGATCTTCAAGTTTATTACTGTACTCAATTCTGGAAAGAGTTCTTGAAGAGTATTGAGAACACGAATTCTTTTCATGGCATTTCGTGTGCTCGATATTAGAGTTTGATTTTGCAATATTTTTATGAGAAGGAAGGGATTTTGGTTTCGGCAGACAAAGAAAAGGTTGTGTTTCATGTTTGTAGTTGTCCGAAGGATGCAGCTGATGATACTAACGAATTTCCAATTGTTGCTCGCGTTCCTGATGCTATACTGAAAAGAGTTGATCCGACCAACACATTTCTAATCACTTACTTACAAACCATCGATACTTCTGTTGAAACCGGGGTTCTTTTGGCTAGAGAAGAAGAAAACAAGACTAAACGTTCGAAGAAGGTTGATGCTAAATCTTCTAAGAAATCTGTCAAAAAATCTAAATCAACAAAGAGTCCAAAGAAAGTCCCAATTACAGAAGTCGGGCCAATCCAACCTGAAGTTTTTGTTGTTGATACTCTATCTACTCAAAAGGAAATCATTCCTTCTAAGACTTGTATTTTTCGAAGAATCAAGATGAAGTCAAAACATAAGATTCGATCACCTTTAACGAATGTTGTTTGCAAACCACAGGTTTCTCATCAAGGAGTTATCTTTCGTGATATTCTTGCCCCTGCTTCACCGTCTTCTAAGAAGAGAAGGGCAACTGATATGGCCAAACACATATCAAAGAAGAAGAAAAAGAGTTGGGTGATTATTTCATCAGAGTCTACTGCTGATGAAAATGAAACAATTCCAGAAACACCGAAAGCTGATCTTCAGAAAGATTCTTCTCATATTGCATCAACTGATGTAATACCACCCGAAATTTCGGTTGCCAAGATAGTTTCTGTGGAAGCACGAACTTCTGACATTTTTGTAAACATATCTAATATGGATGCAAATGTCACAATGGGTGAGGATGCTTCATAGACTCGAGACAAAGGTAAACCTTCAGATGTTATCCCAAATACTATTGTTTCTTTACCTTCACAACTCATACCTGTTATTCCTAGTACATCTACAACTTATTCTCCTACCTTTGAAAACATCATCAAACAACCAATCACATCTCTTTTTTCTTCACAATCCACTGATCCACCTACAACCACTTCACCATTTCAAGATTCTTCTTTCATGGAAACTAAACACGAGTCCGAAGGTTTTTGAGGGACATTTGAAAATTTAGAGTTTGATGAAGAAGAAATTGACTTCCCATATCACATATTCATGAAAATGAAATAGTTCAAGATATTGAATACAAAACTCAATTCAATTCTTCAGTCTCAGGATGATCTTGGGGGAGGAAATTCAGTAACCAGTCCCGAAATGGATGGTCTGCTAAAGATGGTTGAAGGGAGGATTTCTTTGAAAGTGTCCAGAATGATAAAGGATTCTGAGTCTCGTCTTCTGGAGAAAATTGATCTTTGTGATCAGAATAATGAGATGAGGGTTGATGCTTAGAAATCTACTTTTGAAGGTGATCTGAAGGAATTAAAGATGACTGCAAAGGAGAGGCATGTTTTGTTTATTCAAGATGTAAAGAAAGTTAGAGAATATGTGAACTATAAACTCCAAGAACTTAGACAAGATATAGAGAAAGAGATTGCAAATGTTCGTACTGAATTTGCATCTCTCAATCAAAAGGTAGATATCATATGTGATGCAGTTACTAAGTTTGCAAAGTTGTACGAAAGTCAAAGTCCTCAAATTGCTCAACTTTCTACAACAGAAACCAAGAATTTCATGGAGATTTTCACGTTGTTAAAAGAGCTTTAAACCTTATCTTTAACACCTGCTTCGTCTTCTTTGTACTCCTCTGAAGATCTTATCAACAAATTTTCTAAATTTGAAGCCTTACTTCTTCAGTAGCTGGCTCCTCTTTCACGAATATCTAGCCTTCTTCCCATAATGGATGCCCCACCAACTAGTACAGGGGTGCAAGGGGGAGAAAAGAAAATTGAATGTTCGAAGGCTGGAGGCGAAGATACGAAGGTAGTGGGAAAGGTGTTTCCTTCTAAAATCCCAACATCAAAACTAGTGATAGCAACTGATGGTCCTATCTCTTCAACAATAGTTACAACTGTGCCAATCAGAAGACCAATTTCGAATCGAATTATGATTGGTAAATCTATTGACACTGGTAGAAGTGATACAAAAGCAAAAGAAGTGATAGAGAAATCTGTTTCGAAGGCAAGGGGAAAGTCAATACTAATTGAAAAATCTAAAGAAGAGAAGAAGGCAGAGGCTGAGGTAGAAGTGGAAAATATGAGGATGATTCAAAGCATCATGACTCAAAGGGCTAGTGATCCTCCTAGCATGAACAAGGGTGATCCATAAAAGAACTACAATTATGAAACAATTGAAGCCAAAGTTGCATTCAATCACATGTATTCGTTTGAGAACAATCCTAAACATAGTTATATTGTCATGAATACGAATGCAAGCCAATTGGACTTTCGAATTGACGAAATGATGTTCATCATGCCACAATTTAAGGCAGAAAGTAAATTCACGGAGAAGGATGAAGGTGCTCAAATGAAGATCAGATTTCATGCAGTTCTTGTGAAGCCTGCAGAATAAGTATGGTCATTGATCAAGATTAAAAAGGTCATAAGCATAACGAAGGATGTAGTTTTCGAAAACACAGTCCAAAACATGAAGTATATTGTGACCAGGACAAATGGCAATGTGTGCGATTTTAAAATTGCTGACTTTCCTTCGATGAACTTGTATGATCTTATACAAGTTGTATTACTGCTGAAGGAAAGATCATTTTCATATCTTCAGAACACAGAGCCTGATGAGTACAAACTGGGAGTTACTCACATCAAGATTTTTATTGAAAATTAGTATGAATGTTTAGCAATGATTGATGTGGAGTTGGCTATAGCTAAAGGTCTGGAAATTACAGCACCTATGGCTCCTTCGAAGACTCAAGCAGACTTAAATAAATATGCAGATGGTGAAATATACTTGAAGCCTTTTGGCTTAGTCTTCTCTGGGAAGGACAAGTCAGGAAAATCAAAAAGATTTTTGTTCCAGGCGAATGAAGTTGAAAGATATTCTACTTCACAATATACGAACTTGATTGTTCGTATGAATCATTGCAAGAAGAATAATGAAGGAGACAAGAAGGAACTGAAGAAGATTATCTCTTCGTATACTGAGATATGAAGAGTAATGTTGTACTCCATTCAACTGCTTACAAACTGAAGTCTTCAACTTTGTTTACAAGGGGGGAGAATGTAAGGGTAGTTTGGTTGTAATGAGTCGAAGTCTTATATGTACTCTTCGTATGATCTGATATCTATTTTACTAAGGCACATTATTCGAAGCTTAGGTGTCTAGTTCGTAGTATATTTTTTGTACGTTTTTATTATCCTATAAATAGGAGACTTTACTAGAGTTAGATAAGGTTTTTACAGTCTTGTCTATTTTGTACTCATAAACCTAAAAGCGTAATATTGAGTTGAATCAAGATCTTATTTACATCAGTGTTGAATCTTACATACATTACTGATTTTAAACTCTGATTAATATTCATACTCGATTCTTAGATTCTACACATGAAGTATAAGGGTCACTCATCACATGCAAGGGCATAAATTTGTTAACTTTATGCCTTCGGATATCTTAATGGACTCAGATCTAAAGCTTGAAGTTGAAATCACAAGTATTAAGTACTTAATGGTCAATTGTGATTGTCTGGTTTGTACGCCATGCGTAGTATTCTTTACGCAGCGTGTACCGCTTAAGGGGCTAGTACGTTGTGCATACTAAAGTGGTACGCAGGACGTACATACTCAGATGGGTTTGGGCCTTGTTTTAGGCTTGTAAACTTATTGGGCCTTATTCAACTTTAGGTCTAGTCCTATTTAGAGTTTTAGGCTGATATTATATTTTCGGCCATAGTTGTTTTGTTTGTGCCTTATTGGGCCATGTGGCCATTAATCATTTTATCTTGGATCTTAGGCCCGTCAGCAAATGGAAGACTTTTTGTGACATCCCTATTTTCATGGCCAGAAAAGACCGATTTTGTTTATGCTTTGTTTGAAAACCAGAGTAACATTTTAAATAAAAGTGTTGCAGAATTTGTCCCAAAACAAAATATGATAAAGATTTATCAAAAGCATTTCCATAGAAATGTATTTCATTGAAAAGACTCAGGATGTCATGTTCGATACAGATCATAAGCATAAACAATACAACATAGGCCTTACTACATTATTCCGTATTTACAGGCCTAAAATCCCTTAATCTCTCATCCCAAGACATCACATCTATGCTCATGCGCCACTACCTGTAATACAAGAAACTGAGTGGGTTAGGCTTGAGATCCTGGTGAGCACATATGGTTTTCAACCCACAATAAATAAGTTTATTAATTTCATCAATCAACAATAATCCGATTACCCATTCCTATTATCCTCTCATTACGTCCCTAAACACCTATCATAAGGGACCTAGCCTAAGCATCATCATTGGGATGGACACTACTGCTAAGGGGATTCCTTAGAAATAAATGTCCATAAGGAAACCATGTGGGGGATGGAGTACACCTGGTGATCACACAGTTCAAATAAACACGCAGTTCAAATAAACACCTACAGGTTGCGAACCTGCTAGCGTTCCATTGGACTGTCTAGAATAGTCCGTGGTCATCATCTATACTCCGCTAGATGGCGGGATCATCAATAACATCTATAACGAGGTCTCTCATTATTTTATTTTGTCACACAACAACTATTACGTCTACCCATGTTTTACCCAGCACATTTTGTAGATATAAAATACATATATAGTTTAAATCATTTAAAACATGTATAAAATTGTTCATCCAACATAGATAGCAAGTATACAGATAATATGCACACACAACATGTAATTTATATAAAACACTTCATATCTATGTGTAACCTAAAAGTAACTATGCACTCACTTGGTAAGGTGGTGATTCCGAAATCAGACAACGCTTCGCTTCTTAAAAAATAATTTCCACTGACGAAACCTAGTATTATTACCACTAGAGTTTAGTCTATTATTTCCCAAGACTAATTAATAGTCTAGCTATTATTACTATTATATAAGCGTTAAACAATACTTATATAACCCATAATAATATCCCAAGTACTTATTATAAGTTCCTAATAACGTTACTATAATTAAATAAAAGCTCTATTAAAAATAGCGTAGGCATAGCTCACTAACAGCGGGTTTTATAGAAAATCAGGTTTTGCTTGGGGCAGCATTCCCGAGCCAAAAAAAATGAGGGTGGGAGAGGTTTTATTTATAGGGTGAAAAATGGTTGAACTTGGTGCCACATATCACCATCTAGTAGCAAGACTTGGGGAGAAAGCAATGGCCAAGATTGTGCCACATCACCCATTTTTGCACTGCACACTCCCGACTTCTAAAATCCGTAACTTTCACATACGACCTTCGTTTTTGACATTCTTTATATCCACACGTAGGTAAAAATAAGATCTACAACTTTCATTTTAACATTGTTGGCTAATTCTCAACCGATCTTAAATTTAACAGTACGAGGAGATTATACTAGTAAATGTCCGCGTAAAATTTATAACCTATACATACGGACTCCGTTTTCGTCTGTCGTTTTACCACTAAGTTCCTATTAATGAGATCTTTAACTTTCATTTAGGTCGCGTATGCCAAAAACTGCTCGAACTAAAATTCGAGTTTCGGGTTGTGCACTATTATGCCAAATGTTAGAAAACTCATAACTTCCTCATACGAAGTCAGATTTGGGCGTTCTTTTTCTGGACGCTCTCAGTTTAACATATTCTACGACTTTTGTTTAGATTACTAAGGCTAAAAACTCCTCCATCGTAAATTCACTATTTACGTCTCCATCATAGACGCATATTTTCCTTTTATCAACCCCAATGATATTCTCAGAATTGGTGCTC